GGGCCGGGGCTGCGCGGGCGCGGGGCGCGCCGCCGGCCCCCCGGGGAAAGGGAACCCGGCCGCGGGTGAGCGTTTGCAATCGAAACGTTCGCAAAGGCAGACAAATACATCGGGGTGGAAACAGTAAAGCCTTTCTAGCGCCGGTGCTGAACAGAAAGATTCTAGCGCAAAAGCGAGAAATGACAGCAGGACACAAAGCGCAAGTGCTTTTTAAAAGCTATGTAACCGTTTGAGCCAAAGGGGACGAGCAAAGAAAAAGGGTTAAAAAAAAGTAAGAAAAAGAGGAAAAACCTTGACGGAAGAGTTGCGTAAATAAATTTCAAATAAAAAATAAGAACACGTTTAAAATACGTGCAGTTACAAATTGACACCCGTTAACAAACTCCCTCCACGGCATTGTTATTTAGTAGTAGTAGCAATAATAATAATAATAATAATCACCTCTTTATAGGATGGCACCTTGATCCTTAAATATTGTCCAGTGTGTAAGGTCAGTGTGCAGAGGGTTAGGAGCAGAAAGGGCTGATTTTTCTTAAAGGGACAGATCAAGGGAAGGCTATGATGGTGCTGGGAGAGAGGAGGGGGGAGAGATAAGTGGTCTGAAGAAGAGGATAGGACAAAAAAAAAAAAACCCCGATGATGATGAATACATTGGAAAGTTTTTTTGGCCCTGGTGAGGGTGTCAGATTGAATGCTCTGTGCGCATGTGCGAAGGTGTCCAAACTGACAATGCTTGGGAGATGAAGATAGTGTGTAGCTGCTTCTGGGCTCAAGGAGGAGGAGAGGAATCCGCAAGCCGACACGATGAGATCCAAGGCGATGGCGAGAAAACTCCCCAAAAGTAGGTCCTTTCTCTCCCTTCTTCCGCGAACCATTGTAGATCGATGACCTTTAATAATTTCATGATAACCATAGGTATACTCCTGGTTAGCAGGTGTCACAGACTTTAATCAATCCATTTTTGTCTTGAATATGCAGCTTCTGACTCAACTCAGGTGTATTTTTCAGAAAGACAATGGTGAAAATCTTCAAGTAGTAGAGAATTCCAAGGTCCGACACAGATTGTTCAAGTGGTTAATTACAGCTGCTACTTTGGCTAAACTCACAAAGTTAATTTTGAGGACAAAGTTGACGAAAGGGGATAGCAACTTTTTTTTTTTTATTGAGTCGTTCCAAGTCTTGTGAAATAATATTCCTGGCTTTTGAAATAGTGGGCGCTAGAGGTCTGCGTTTGGCATCTGCCTGCACGATCCGAAGAGACTTAACGCTGGAGGGAGAAAGGGGGAGAGGGAGACAGACGGAGACAAACGGGAAAAAAGAAAAAAGCAACCCTTCTAGTCTCAGGAATAATTATCAAGGAGAGGGAAGGAAGAGAATTTGTAGCAAAATGGATCCGTTCTCAGGGAGAGCTTTTGGATTCCCAGGTCCAGAGGGAAGATCCTGAACGCAGCTCGGGTGTCCCAGTTGGGGGTTAAGAAGGTCTGGGGGAGGGGA